AGTTATGAAAACCGTCAATAGTTTCTAAGTTTTTCATCTTTTTCATTAAAAAAAACCCCTGGGATTATATTTAAGCTAACTTTATTTTAATAGTTAAAACATTAATTCATGGTTGACCTGAATTATAAGGTTTTTCTTTTTTAACTCAAGAACTGAAAACATTTGGTTATTGCACAGCTCTAATGGTGGTGTCCCTGTGCACACTGGATGTGCATCCTGAACTGCAGAATTAGGAAATATTACTACTCCTTAATTAAAAGCTTGGGAATAATTGGTTGTAGAGACCAGTTGTGAAGGCCAAGAAAATCATTCAAAATTTGCATCATGTCAGTTTTGAGATGTGGGTTGCTATTAGTGTGGTAGCAAATAAACACTTTATTTGTTAAGAACAAGGAAAAGGTCAGCTCATCTGTTTTTGGGCCACGCCAAACAGTGAGAAACTTATATTTCTTCAAGTTAGAAGCTTACCTTTTGGCTCAGCCATAATTACCACCTTGCAGAAGACAGAGAAGGAGGCACTGTAAGGTCCTGCCTCTGCAGCAGCTCGTGTCCTTGAGATGCTTCTTGAGTCTCTCAGTGCATTGATGGCTCAGGACAGGCTGATGAGAGGAAGTGACTGGACATACCCATTATGCAGGTACTGGCAGTAGGGCCTCTTACTGCAAGCCGCAGGACCCCTCCAGCATTTAGTAGCTGTATTTCTGTGGAGGATGAAGAGCCAGGATTAGTCCTTCCCAGGCCTGAAAGAATCCCAGGATTTATACTTTGTTATCATTTCTCTTGCTCTCCCTCTTTGACTCAAGGTTTTTCTTCTCTTTAATTCTAGAGATGGAGGTTATGAAACTTCCCCCCCTCTTGGAAAATACTGTGGTACAGATCTGCCTCCTGTTATAATCTCTCATGGTAACAAGCTGTGGATAAAGTTTGTAAGTGATGTGTTTGGCACAAGAAAGGGATTTGCTGCACACTGGGATGGTACATCAGCAGGTAAAATGAGCACATCAAGTATAAAGCCATTTTAAACATCTCATTTTTGATCTTTTGTTTGTATTTAATTTCCCTTCCTTTTCACATCTTTTCTGCCTCCAATCTCCTAAAATCTGTCTGTAATTATATGGCATCATATATTAAGGCTTCTTAGATCAAGGATATGTATTTCTTGGTCCATGGGCTTTCTTTTCTCCATGGGAAGGATATACCATTTCCTAGATATATTGTAACATGAACTTTCTCTTGCGTTTAGGAAAGCAGTGGTAAACAAGGATACAATGGAGAGGTTTAGTAAGGTTTCTATTTGAAGAATAACTACCTTACAGGAACACGCTTCAAATTAGATTAAATATTTCTAGCTGATGGTCCTGTTGTAGGACAAAGTATTTCCGTCTATTCCTTGTATTATTCTTCCAGCGTGTCTGGGTGTTAAATGCTGGTATGGTTTCTTTGCCCTTTTCAGGTTGTGGTGGGACGTTGACAACAACATCTGGCATCTTTATGTCTCCCAACTACCCTATGCCGTATTACCACAACTCAGAGTGCTACTGGTTGCTGAGGGGGAACCGAGGGACACCATTTGAAATCCAGTTTGAACAGTTCCATCTAGAATATCACCCAAAGTGCAACTTCGATTATCTTGCAGTATGTACATTGTGATTCTTTGCTCCATAGCCTGCAGCTCAGTAGAGTATAATGAATGTAAAGGCAGAGAGAAAGACATATGGTCCTGGTCTTCCAATGTTCACACATGAGGAGACCCAGAACAGGAAAGCTCCAAGCTGAATTGCTACTGTTGTATCAGAGAGCAGTGAAGGGTAAGGCAGCAGTGTCTATGTGAGTGCACACAGGTAAGAAAAGCATTTATGGCTAGATCCAAATGCCACTGAAACAAGAATCTGTCTATGAACTTTGTTTGTTTTTGATCAAGGCCTTATAGTATGCAGTTTTTGTAAACTACAAGAAAAAGGCACAATAGGGACAACAACCCTATTGTTAATCCCAAATTCTGTATTCAAATTGTTGCATAAATGATCTGAATATTTGTATCAGAGTTAAAATGAAGTGCCGTTTTCCCCTTCAGGTGAGTCAGACCCTCAAAATCTACCAGTATTTTATTACTGGCTTCCTATTGTTCCACTGATTTGCTTGTTTCTGAAATGCCTGCCAGGCTTTCTCTGAACAGAAATACTATTTTAACCTCTTGTGCACCTAGTGGGAAAAAAATCCCTGAGCACGCATTTTGGCAGGGGGAAATTAACTTGGATTTGTAATGCCACCAGCTTTATGAAGTTCAGTAGTTATTCAGTATTGTGCTGTTGAAGTTGAAACAGTTCTACTTTCTCAAATTCTGTAACAAGCAGAATCATCGAGTTTATATTTTATCGGGGAACTGACACATTTGTCTTCCTATGAAATTCTCCAGTTCTCTTTTTTTTTTTTCTTATCTGAAGGTATTTGATGGTAACAGCAGCCATGCCAAGCAGCTAGGTAAATTCTGTGGAAGTCAGATTCCACCACTCATCCGCTCCAGTGCAGACAGCATGTATGTGAAGCTAAGGACAGATAGCAGTTTGCAAGGTGGAGGGTTTTTTGCCAAATACAAACAGGGTAAGTAAGTAAAAAAAGATAAGAATATGTTTCTGCAGTGCAGCTTTTTCCTGAAATTACTTCTTACAGCCTATGATCTTATTTATTCACAACCAGAAGACAATGTATACAACATATTATTGAGCCAGATACTTTAACCTGCTACAGTCACAGAGCACAGAGATCTAAAAATTGTCAGTTCCCAAAGGAGATACCTGTGATGGAAGTCCTCTCATCCCTAGAAGAAAGCTGGTGAGGTGGTTCTGCTGCTATTACTTGCATCAGTAGCATTTTCCACTCCAGATTTACCCAGAGTAACAAGTGTTGAAAGCACATAACGGGCTAGATTGGACTGCTCCTGCTCTTCTGCTGACCCAAACTCCTGACTTTTTCCTAGTGAAGGCAGATAGAGAAGGCTCCTCTGCTCTTCCAAGTGCTATGAGGCCAGATGGCAAAGGATCAGGGAGTTACCCTCATAAGGCTCATTGCAGATGCTTGGGAGCTTTTAGCCTACTTCAAATAATACACTTCAAATAATAGTTTCATTTTTAATATCTTGTGGTAAGGGTCACAATTTTCTTGCATACATTTTTTTGTAAAAAAACACTGGAATGATGAAATTTGGCAAAAAATACAAGAAGATATGTGAAGAATTAAAGACTTTTTTTTGTTCCTAGTCATAATCTTTAGTATCATCCCAGTGTTTACTTGGCTGTAGCATATACTAGTTAGATTAGATATACTTTGAAAGGTATGGAATTTCACTATGTACAAGTTGAATTGCAAGCTTCTTTGAGTACTCTAAAGACGACATGCCCAACTGATAGAGATTGCTATAGGTGTGTAGACAGTAAGTTCCCCTTGCTGTTTGAACAACAGTAAATGGACAATGAAAAAGCTATTCATGCACGTGGCACACAATACTTACAAGGGTAGAGTGGCACTGAGCTTTGGCTCCCTCATTACTTAAATCACAGATTCTTCTACCATGTACTTTTCATACTACAAAGTCAAGACAATATATTAGAAGAGAGTTTTTTTTACATTCATTAATTAGACAAAAACAGCACTTAAAAACCACTCAGATATAGAGCCTGAACTATAAGATAATGTGATCTGCACTGTACATTCATATTTAATTCCTCAAGATTCACATGGCCTGGAGAAAACTTTCAGTGGCTTACTCAAAAGCTAAAAATATGTAGGAAGTAATGGTGTAAAATAAGGATGTTTAGATGTGTATATGAACAATAGGCAACGATGAACTGGAAAACATTGCAAAGGAAAGCGTGGTATTAGATTAACTTTCAAAGGCACCTTTGTGCCTGGTATGTTTCTGCTAAAATCCTGATAGCAGGGGGTAGCAGCTTTTGCCCATATTGCATTCTTCAAAATCCATTTCATGCTCTTCATCCGATCCTTTCAAACAGTTGTACGCTTCAGTGTAGCTCTGCAGACAAGCCCCACTTCACCTGACCCTGACCCTCAGATGTATTTTGGGCATTTTGAACTCCTAAAAACACAGACCTTGCTGCTCTGTAAATCATTTGGAAAGAATCCAGAAGACATGCAGGAGGTAGGTGTATTATCCCTAGTGACAATAGAAGGTTTTTGCAAGTGAATCTCAGCTATTTCTGCTGCTCAGGCACTGCAGATTTGCTGTACAAGACAGCAGCCTGGCCTGTTCCCTGCCTCCTGCCCACTTCTCTGTGCATTAGTCTGGTCTGCTCCCTGGTACACCATCTCCAGACGAGGAATTACCCATATTGGCATGTTCTGTCTTTAATGAAAGTCAGACTCAGGAAAATGAGAATCACTGATGTAATGCCATAGCTGTTGCTTCACCCTTTATCTAGTGTAGTTTCTTTTTGATTTCCTCTGCAGTTTAAGGAAAGCTCTCATTATCCCAGGTGAATGTCCTGCTCCTCTGCTAGGACTTTACTGGATGACTCACAAGGAAAACCATGGCTCCTTCTTAAAGAATTTCATGCTCACTTCCAATTCCTGGAGCTAGGACATCCAATATAAGCAGTAATCTTTCCATTTGTTGTTTTAGCCAGGGATTATTTATTTTTTTCTTATCCACTAGGCAATCTTTGTTGAGGGCCCCCCCCACCCCGTAAATTGTTTCAAAGTGACGGAGGAAGGTAGGTCATACGCCACAATTCTATTATTAACTACAAAAAAAAGGAAAAAATGTTTCAAGAATAACCATTTATTTAAAATTAAAGAAAACAGGAAAAAAGTGTATATGCCACAATTTAAAAAAAAGGCTGGTGAGTCTGCAAGGGTCAGAAAAGATGGATATACTATAACTGAAGGATTAAGTTTCAGAAAAACTGGATTTTGCTTGCAACGTGTGTAATATATCCTTCAATATGTTACAACTCTGCCTGCTTTCTATAATCTATGAATATAAATATTTCTTATCTTGTAATGGTATCAGTAACTTTAATTAGTAATTTTTTGAGATCCAGGGATAAGACGCACTGCACAAATCTAATTTATTATCATCTTTTTTCAGTTTGCCATGAAGTACTGACTGTTAATCGTAGCCATGGCATCTTGGAAAGTTTAAATTATCCAAATAATTACCCATTAAATGAACATTGCAACTGGACCATCCAAACTACAAAGGGGAACAGCCTCAACTATAGCTTCACAGCCTTTGATTTAGAAAGTGGATCTAACTGTGACCTGGACTACCTGAAGGTATGTACCCAGATTCTAGACACAAGAAAAATAACTTCTTTCTCAGGAAAGAAAAAACAATGAGAAGGCAGAAGGGAGAATTCATCTTGTCTAAACATAACCATTAAAAGTTAAGTATTTAGTCCAAATGATTTGTCCCTATTTCCTCTGCAGTCGGTAGGGAGGTAAGCACTGCCAGTGAGCAATTTATACTGCCTAAAGACAGGCGCCTACAATAGGGAGGATGAATCACTTTGCAGTTGCCTAGATTTGCTACAGGGAGGTTAAATACCACCTTAGATCAGATGTACTGGCTTTTATAGTTGAAATTAGATGACATGACTCCAACTGCACGTAAAGAAGCCTTATTTAGATAGAAGCAGAAGAAGTTCTGAGATTAGCAGGTAAGTGGGAGAAGTTCAGTTTCAAAGTCACCAATGCAAAGAGGCCAATTCTTTTATTCTCGTTTTTTATCTGGAAAGTAGTGAGGAACATTTAGAAACGTTAAATGTTTTCTTCCTACTATTTTTTAATGGAGCATTGCTGTGTCTCCTGTTGATATTTTCCTTTTCATAATTAATCTGTTTCTTTAAAGGCATTTAAGGGACACTGAACTTACCCGCAAACAAAATGAGATACTTTTAGCCAAATAAAACAATCCAGTCAACCTAAAGCCAATTGTCTTTTATTTTTGTTTCCTCAAAAATTTTAATTCTAGGACAACTGAAGAGATACTTTCTCCCAGGTTTCCACTTTTCACTGTGGGAAGTACAGTGCAGTCATGATCGCTGCTATGCTGAGGTTTATAAGCTTCTGCCTACCATTTTGCTGTTTTGTGGAATTAATCCATCCTTCAAACCTCACCCCTGTACAGAATGCCAGTACACAGCCCCTGTGCTCTACTTAGGTTTTGCGCAAGAGAAATTGAAATTTAGGGCAGTATCATAGCTACTTTCAGCCAAGGAGAGGGCTATGGAATAGTGCCCACGTTTCTGGACACACTTACTTACTTTGGTGCCAGTCTTGCAGAAAGTCAAGCAGAAGGCCTGGTGTTAGGCTGTGTGTTCCCTCTTGATGTCCTCCTTTGCTCCCTCTACCTCCTTACCACGCCAGCTTTCACAGCTCAAAAATGGGTAATAAACTGGCAAAAGTGGTGTCCTTCCAGCTTTCTTCTGCTGGGGCCAGGAATAGAAAGAAAGAATACGCATGCCAAAAAAAAAAAAAAAAAAAAACGAAACAAGGGAGCACTGTATTGAAAACTAACAGAAGTTGCTTAAACCCTGGTTCGTTTTGTGAGGAAGCTGAAAAAGAAACATGGGAGCCAAATGGAGAGGCCAGTACTAGTCCCAAGATGCCTAAGCCCTTGATCCGTGAAGGGCAGGGGCCTTGCACACGGTAGCCAGCCAGTAAGGAGCAAGGGACTTGCCAGAAGACTCTGTCCTAGATGTAAGTCAAGGATGGAGGAGTAATGCCAGAGGCAAGGACCTGATCCGAAGCGCTTAGAAGAACAGAAATAAAACATATTAGAGGGAGGGAGGAGAGGGGGAGCAGTAAAGTACTTGCACTTAACAGTTTCTCTTTGCTCCCAATCAAAGCAAATAAAGACTAAAAGAGGTATGAAGAGGAAAATGCAAGTTCAAAACAGTCATGGAAGTGTGTTAAGGAGGCTTTAATTTGCAATTCATGTCACGTTACTTGAAAGTCTTTCTCCAAATGCCATTAAGAAATAACACTTGGAAAAGATGTTCTCATTTTGTTGTTGCATGCTGCACAAATATGTGCCATAGTGTAAAAATAGAGAACAAGGTTGAACCAGCCAGGGAACTGAATAGCGTCTGCTCCCACCCTGCGTCTTGCGAAAGGAGAACATCTTGGCAAGGTTGTGGAGTGCCCTGTGGTGTAGGGGAAAGGGGGATTCATCTGGAACAAGTCTGCAGTTCACTTTCTAAGCAGACTGCAGATATTTGGGACTTTTCTGTCTGAAACCCATATGGACTTTGACTCCACTGCAAAATGGGAAAAAAACTGATAATAAAGAAAAAAACAAGATACAGCTGCTCAGCTGAGATAAAATTACTTTTCTGCCACATGCTAATTTTGAGATTCTTTTATTGCAAAGAGGCCTAAAAAGGGAAAGCTCTGATGCCCTGGCTGAGTATAACAGTGAGAAAACAGAGGTAGAGTCGTGTTCACTGTAGTCCAAGTGGGTGGTGCACGGGTCATGTGCCAGAGCCCTTCACTGTTTTCTTGGAGGAAACGGGAAGTTGCTGCTCAGGCAGTTTCCACGTGGCTCCGAGGCACTGGGCAGCCACCGGTGCTGCTGTCACGGGCGGGGTGGAGCAGGTGCTCTCGTCCACAGGGCTTTCAAGTCACTCTTCCCGTCCCCTCGGGGTTTGGTTCTCTCCCATCCCAGCCCTTCTTGCTCTCTGCCTGCCCTGGCACTCCAGGGAGACTAGGAGGGGTAGGTTTGGTGGTGATGTTTGCTAGGAGGCTGGGAATGGGAAGGAAAAGGGTTAGCGGTTAGGTGGGATTAGCGGTTGATCGCGGTGGGTAGAGAAGGACAGGGTGTCATTTGAAATGCTACGGAGGTGTTACAGTAGACAGTGGACCTGGCTGAGCCCAGAGTACAATCAAGAAATGATGTAGTTGCAGAACAAAATGAACAGAGCTGCTTTTAAAAGTCAGTGGAGAGAGAGATTTGATGCACGTGGAAATATTTTTGCAACATTACAAATGCCTCCAACTAGAACTCTTATTTTTTGGAAACCTTTCTGAATTCTGAAGGGAAGAACGTGGTGTCTGTGGTAGGGCGGGGAGAAGTAGAGTGGGCAAGCTGCGTTCATACGTACTGCTGGACCTGGCTCAGGCACTGTGGGTTTGGGCCCAATCTCCACACTGCAAAAGGGCCTGTTCTTGACTTTTGTGTTTAATTATGACTTAGGCTTCCAACCCAAACCCACATCCAGTATATGAGAAGTGTATTTTGCCTTATGACTAATTCAGTCTGATACATATTCAGCTTTGCTATTTGCTCCCTGGCTTAGTTCACATGTGAGTCAGAATGTAAACATGCAGAATAATGACAAAATCAGAAATTCCTACACACAGGTATTCCTAGTGGTTGTCAGTTACCAGTGATAACTATCGTCACTTACAGCGAATAGCCTGTTTCAAATACAGGGTATTGAGCAAGATGTTCAGATGCCCAAAGAGTACTCCGGGCAAGTGCAATGCGTGGCTCTCCCAGACCAAAATGCAATCACAACTGTATAAGGAGAAGCCAGCCCTGTGTTCCAATACCTATTCCTTTTTCTCCTTTGATCACAGGATGCTTCTTGTGAGCCAGGCTGCCCTTTGCAGCGGCTGGCTGGTGGTACTCGGGATGCGTAGCATTTTCCCCTAGCAGGGGAGCCCTGGGTGACTGACTCAGTCTGGCCTAGGCAGGCCCTGCATCTCCACCATTTTGCAGTGCATGCAACTATTTATATCTGTGCCACGTAGGAAGGAGAAAGCCCTGCTCTTCTGATTCGGTGGCAATTTTATGCCATTCTGTATAGGTGCCAATAACAGAGCAGGGGCAGTGTGGGAGGGAGGCAAAAATGCAGATTTTTGTCAAGGCAGTCTCTAGCATGAATCTCATGTGAGCACTTTCTCAACAAATGAGCAATGTGTAGTGTTTCATGGTCTGTCAGAGGATGTTGGCTCATTGCTGGTAACACTCACAAGATGCCTGACATTTTGCAGAGAGTTTCAGCAAAGTTTCAAGAATATCAGATCGACTGCCTGTGATAAAGACATGAACAGAAGTGGTAACGATATGATACAAGGCATATCAAATAGCAGACTGTTTCTAAGTGATGCTGCATGCACTAACTGTAATTGGATGGTCTTTAGATTATATTGTGTGCTGTGGCTTGGCTTAATAGCGTACCATTAGTCTTTCTAGAGGAGTCATCAGATTGTAGTCAGTGAGAGATTGCAGACAGAGACATAGAAATGTTATTCTTTTCTCTAAGCTCACCAGGTTGTTAGCTGAATAAGCATATATTTAACCTCCAATCTTTTGTGATGAATTGTCTTCTTATTTAGTGTGACAGAGCGTAGTCTCCACAGAAGTCAAGCTATTTTATAAGCAAAGAGAACATCATGTTATTGCCCGTATGATTAGAATCTTGCAGTAGGATTGAAATTTACTCCTTTCTTATCCAAGAAAAATATTATTTGAAAACAACTAATCTTTCTGTCCTTCAGCAAAAAGTTCCCTCTGTGTTCTTCTACTCACAAAGCATAACCTTCCCTTGAAGTCCAGTGTGTTTAGTGTCTGCTTTTAACATGCAGGGAAGACCCTGCCTGGTCCTCTGCAAGATGCCACTGGCCTGATAAGCAAACAGTAAGATTTTGCTGTGCAGCAAGACAAGCTTCAGAACTGTTTGTCTGAGTCTCACACCCTTTGGCTTGTGGACTATGTATGACTAATGTCTAGTGGCAAGGATGGAAATACAGTTGTAAGAAATGACACTCTAATACATGTGGATATTGCAGAAGCACATTTTATGGAGGCAACTGACAGCCTGATCTGCAGTCAGCAACCACAGTGGCCTGCCTTCTGCTTCAGTGCAGGGCAGAATTACTCTTTGGAATAAATCACTTCCTTGCTTGCTTACTACCAATATACTTAAGAAGTCCAGAGTTTTTCGGCTATTAGGTTTATGGTGGTTAAAATATCAGTGCGCTCTTATATATGGATGTTATCAAATGAGTATAGTAATTCACATGGCATCTGCTCTTGAGTATTGTTTCATTTCCTTCTGGTGGTAACAGGATATGTGCCTTTTTTTTTTTTTTTTAACCACAGTAGCGTTCCAGGGATGTGCCATAATATCCTTTTTCTCCATCTGGGAATAATGCATTAGATAATTGTTGCTTGCACTCAGCTGGTGATCCTCTTTTTTATTAGCTTATCATAGAAGAAAAGGCTTTCCCTGTTTCTAGTTTTCCTCTCTTCTGTGCTTGTAACTAGT